AATATATAAGTGAATGTGTATGTATATGAGTATGAGTGTAAGAGTGTAAAAGAGTACTAATTAAATGGTCTGGTTACTTATTAGCGATAAATTTATCACTGTTAACAGTTATCTCTATCTCCCACATCCCTCGTTATTTTCTTAAACCAAATCAGCTACAAATCATGGTTTAATATATCAGTAATAAATTTATCACTAAGTAGTCTTTGATTCTTGTATTGATTTGTGACGATGATGATATATCAGGTGATAAATTTATCATTGAATTTGTCTTTATTTTTTGTATTGTTCTGCACATGTGAAGAATGATGAAAACTTCTGGTAAAGGTTCTTTATTCCTCTACTTCATTCTCTTCATCTTTGTTCTTCTCTTTTTTCTCTTGTCGTCACCAGATCTGAGAAGGTGGTGGCGAAAGTGACGTGTTGGAGATGGCAAATAGCCAAAAAAATATTGTTAGAGGTAGTTGTCGGAGGTCAATGGTGGTCGCTGGCAACTAAAAATGACAACCAAAGGTGGTCGTCAGCAGTCAGAAGTGGTAGTCAGTGGCTGGGGTTGGTCTCCGACGGTTAGAGGTGATAGTCATTAGTTGTAGATGGTAAGGTGCCATGTCATTGGTCTTATGTGTGATGGAGGGTATTTGGGGGATATTAATAGATGAAAAAATGAACAGGACTTATAAGTAAATAAGTCTAATTAATAGGGCTGAATAGTTAGTGTTCTTTTTTTTTAAAAAAAAAAAATTTGATTGATTAAACTTTGAGATTAAGAAATGATAATGCTATAAAAATTAGAAAAGCTTGCTAACTTTTAGGGAGAATATAAAATAAAATAAAAAAGTAGAGAATAGAAAAATAATTTCAAAATGATAGAGATGGAAGTGATTTATGCATTAGATTATGCAAATAAATCTTGTACTTCCATCATTTATATTTTTTTTTACTTTTTTTTTTTTTTTGAAATTCTCCCTTATGTTTATTATATTATTTTAATGAATCTCATTTAAAATTTTAAAATCTTTTTATTATAGAATATTAAAGTTGTATTACTGTATATCAATTTTTGTAATAATAATAAATTAAAAAAAAGCCTGATATTTGTTATCTCTTGTGTAATGTTAATCATTACTAAATAATAGTTGATTCGCTAATTGACTCGACAAGAATTGGTCCACTAAGGTAGGTGTAGACATTTAAGGAAGGGGGCAGCTTCCCTCCTGTTCTAGATTAGATTAGAAGATGTTGTTGAATCTATGCAGGTGCAGCATGAGTCCTGTTTCGATAATTTGAACCGTGCAATAGATAGAAATTATCGATTAATATATGCTTATAAAAAATTATATTAATTGGATATCAATAGCTATTTCATTAGATTAGTTTTTTGTCAATCTTTAATTTGTTCACCGTCTATTTTTGTTAATATAAAACTGATTTGATCACATAGCTATCGATATCCAATCAATGTGATTTTTCATAAATATGTAGTACTTAATGAGTTCTACATATTGACGGTTCAAATTATCAAAACAAAACTTGTAATGAATCTCCACAAATTTAGTAATACTCTCTAATTTGATCTAAAACTAATAGCTACTCCCACTTAGAATTCCCTTAATGAGTGGACTTGTACATTATCATAACATTTGAATCGTAACATTTTTTGTTATGATTCACCATAACAAATCATAACTTTTACATGTTACTTGATTATAAACTTTGATTTCGTTAAAATTTAATGTAAATTATTACTTTATGGTCATCATTTATGACTAAAGCCTAAAGGCCTGTTTAGGGTGATTTTTTTTCACAAACTGAAAGGTAAAATGAAGAAAGTAAAAATATAAGATCATTTTCTTCTCAACTCTTCAATAATTATTTTTTAAAAATTTATTTAAATTATTTTTACTTCATAAATTATAAATAGTTGCATTATACACTCTCACACCTATTTAAAAAATAAAAAATAATAAAAAAAAATATAAACAGCTTTAAACAAGGTCAAAATGAGGTAGGAGGAATTTTTTAGGAGAAATTACTCATAAGTCCCATATGGGAAAATGTTACTCCATCTACTCCTGAGTGTTTTTTTATAAACCATTTAGTCTTTTTTTTACATCACAATAGCATCATCAAAACAACATCAAACATCATCATCAAAACAACATCAAACCTCATAACATCATCATCAAACAACATCAAACATCATCGTCAAAACAACATTAAGATTATTCATTTTTCTTCGTCCAAACATTAACCTAACTTTTTTCCTCTTTTTAAAATTTTTATAAAATAAAAATACGTTTCTTTCCGTGTTAATGTTTTCGATCTTCATCAGAAACTCCTCATCTGTCTCCCTCTCTCATCAATCGCATATACTTCACCATTCTTGCAAACAATCATACTTCACCATTCATAAAAATACTTCACCATTCACCATTCTAGATTGAAAATACCAGCAAAACAAAAGAGACAACAAATCTAAACATCAGATTGGGTACAAATCGAACAACAACAACATCATGATAAGGCTAGAGTAACCCCGTGACGGCGCCACCCGTAACCAGAAAGACACCAACACAGATCTTGGAGATCAGTGAACAGAACCCAATAAGTTTCGATTTTTTCCTCATTTGTAGATTCATGGATGTAGATATATAGGTATAGAGAGATGTGTATGTGATTGAATTTGGGAGATTCTGGAGAGGTTGAAGAGTTTGCACCTGCAGAGGGAGAACATCACAGATCCGACATTCAAGAACATCACTGTGTTGAAGAACATCACAGATCCGATATTTGATCCGATTTGAGGGTAGAACATCACCGTGTTGATGATGTTTTGTTGATGTTGATCTGATTTGATGATGTTTTGTTGATGTTTGATGTTCGAAAATTACCCAAAACATCATCGAACATCAAATGGGTTAACATCAAACATATTTTGAATGTGCTTGAACACATATTTTTTTGTTGATGTTTGATGTTCGAAAATTACCCAAAACATCATCGAACATCAAATGGGTTAACACCAAACATCAAACATCAAACATATATCAACAACAGACATTAGATGATTTTTGTTCATGATGTTCTGACGTTGATGTTCATGATGGTAAATATTAGATTATCGAAATCTGATGTTCATAATGGTAAATGAATCTGATGTTTCATTCTACAATTTCAAACATTACTGAAATCTGATGAACATTAGATGTTTGAAATCTAATGTTTGAAACATTATTGTAATTTTTCACGATGTTTTAAATCTGATGTTTGAAATCTGATTTCAAACATTGTAATTTTTCACGTTATTATAATTTTTGATATTTGAAATCTGATGTTTGATATCTAATTTTTTATGTTTGAAATCTAATTTTTCACGATGTTTGTTCATGATGTTCTGACATTGATGTTCATGATGGTAAACATTAGATTATTGAAATTTGATGTTCATGATGGTAAATAAATCTGATGTTTCATTCTATAATTTCAAACATTATTGAAATCTGATGAACATTAGATGTTTAAAATCTAATGTTTGAAACATTATTGTAATTTTCAACGATATTTGAAATCTAATGTTTGATGTTGGATGAATAATGTTTGATGTTTGAAAAGAAGGGAAATCTAAAAAATGCCTATAGTAAGCTTCTTGGGAAATAGGATCTATTAGTCCAACAAAAAACTTTCGGGACTAAATGGGTTAACATTTTTAAATTTGGGATTTATTAGTGCTTTGCCCAATTTTTTATTTATTTATTTTTCAATTTGTCTTCATAATTCCCATCTAAAAAAAAAAAATCTGTCTTCATAATTAGTTTAAAAAATTATAAAACTTAAAATTAATTTCATTGTATCTTTTATTTTTCTTGTCAAAACAAAATTAATCTGGAAAAACAACCAAGTAAATTTGACATCAATCAGAATAAAATAAAATACAAATAATTTAAAGCTTCAAGATTATAGCCTAGTGGAGTCATTGTCCTTTATGTTTATTTTTTAAAGTAACGTTAGGAATCATGAAAAAAAAATATCATGAAAATGATTATAAAAAAAATTTTACTCTTAAATTATACATATAATAAAACAACACACAATAATTAAATAATAAAAAAAATTCATGAATCAAATAAAGGCTTAACGCTCATAAAAAATATTCACATGACTATCAAGCAAGCCCTTTATATTTATTTTTTAAAGTAACGTTAGGGATAATTAAAAAATATATCATGAAAATGATCATAAAAAATTTGGACCCTTAGATTATATATATATATAATAAAACACCACACACTAATTAAATGATAAAAAAAATTCATAAAATATTTCATAATATTTTTTTCATCAACCCTAATATTATTTATTTTTTCATAATAAGTGATAAAAGGACCCTACTGAAACAATGACTAATGTTCAAGGTGGACAAAAGTAACATTTGAATAAAAGTTAAAAAGAATATGTGATTATTTCTTAATAATTAATAAAAAAAAATTACAAATACACCCTAAAATTTATGTAAAATACGAATTACTCAAAAATTACAAATATTTTATTATTTAAATTTTTTATTTAACACAACTAGCAGAAAAATAAAAATTTTAAGTTCTCTTTTATACAATATACAATAATAAAATTATTTAAAATTTTAATTAAAATATATTTTTAATATCAAAATAATTAATTAACTTAAAAATTTATTACACTACAAAGAAAAAATTCATAATTTAAGCAAATTTGATGGAGATAGTTGTAATTTATCCTAACTAGTAATAGTAGTAAAGTCTTTGCAAAACGCAATCAACGCGCTCGAGAATTTTAGAGGCCTCGCGTTTTCTGCTTTTGCCCCCACTCCTCCCTATCTTCCGTCTCTCTCACTCTCCCACTTTCTGAACCGTCTCTCTCTCTCTCTCTCTCTCTCTTCTCTCTCTAGAAAAGGCAAGCAAGGCAAAAGACAGACACTTCAAGATCTCTCTCTCTCTCTCTCTCACAATCTATCTGTGGTAATCCATCAACCACTTCTCTTCTCTCTCTCTGGATTTGCATTTGGTGATTGATATGCATACACACATTACATTCAAATATGTAATTCATGTGAACAAACAGAGTGCTTGAGATTCCAACTTAGTAATGGCTTTCGATATTCTGTCACTTCAAATTATCACTCTAATTTCCTAAATTAAGGTTTTGCTTTGCCTAGATCTGATCTTCAACGGTTGGTGTTCTATTTGGTGGTTCCAACTAATTTTCTTTCTTTCTTTCTTTCTTTTCCCACCGACACTTCACTTCAATCTTTTTTAGTTGTGCTTTTTTAGCCTAATTCAGAGTAATCTTCAATGGTGATGGTGATTCTTTTTATATTAACCCCAAAATTCTATATTTATATAATATAGATCTCTGTGTGGTTTTGAGTTCAAGTGAAGTAGTTATATTATATATGTTTTGAAGGAGGTCAAATTATATATATATATATATATATATCATATTGAATGTTGTTTGCAACTGGAATGGTCAGATTGATTCATTTTATTTTATTTTTTATTCCCCCTTCAGGTTGTTGTGCTTGATAGATAAGTTGGTTGAGATGGAGGCTGAAATCCACGCCGATTCACCACTTGATTATGCTGAATTTCAATTATTTCCAAGCCGGGACAGGTAGGTTATACTTCTTTTTGTAACTATTTTCCACTGATACTTAATTATGTATACTTAACAGTGAAGGTTTTTTTTTTTAAAAAAAATTATTTTAATGACAAGGGTCAAATGTTTTTTTATCCCTCGTGTTCTTTCTTTAGATTTTCAAATTCAAATTTGTTGAGTCATTTGAATTTTTCACTGAAATTGGACCTTTACCAAAGATTAATGTGATTAGGATACAATCAAATTTGATTGGCTAAGATATCTAGTGATTCTTTTCGATATGGGCTTTGACAAATATCTTCTGCATTCAGATTGATTAGTGAGGATATCCAATTTGGGGTTTTATTCTGTTTAATTGCATGTTAGATGCAAATGATTTTGAATTTTGAATGTTCCAAAAGTTTTCAAGCCCTTTTCGTTGCAAGGAAATTTAAATTTGGGAATTTACATATCCCCCCATTAAAACCATTAATCATTTAATGGATAGAAAAATTAGTTGACTCACAAAAATGTAATAAATATGATTGACGCTAAAAAAAATCATTATGAAGATGATGGTAATGACTATTGTTATTATTGTTATACTTGGAAATTGTTTTGAACAGCATTCAGACTTTGTTGTAGGTATGAGGCATGTGTATGCAGTGGCAACAAGGTAGAAACAATAGCATCTGGCCTTTTGGGACAGCTGGCGCTGCATTTACCTGAACTAAAAAATTTGTTGTCTAGAGGATCCAATGCCAACTTCAAACTTCAACCACCCAAAAATCTTGATAGTTCCCAGTGGTTCACAAAATCAACATTAACAAGGTTGATATCATTAAACTCTTTCTTGTTTTGTCACTTGGCTTTCTTTCTTTTTTTTAATTTTTTGAGGAGAAAATGAGGATGTTTAGTTCTTCTATTTTTTCTATCTGATTATTTCTCAGATTTTTATGTATTGTTGGTTCATCGGACACACTAAATACCACCAATGCTATTGGAAATGAGATAACTCAACTGGAGGAAGCCAGAAAATTTCATCTTTCTTTGTATACCAAGGTAATATCTATACATTTCTTGGGAGTTGATACTTCAAAGAAATGTTTGAGACTCCCAAAAAACTTCCACAATTCGACCCACAATGATTTGTTTTGATAAGTGTCAACTTTTGATTTGTTACACCCAATGATATAGGACTCAACTCCCTTGCCACATCATTGTGGGTGAATTTGTGGGTTTAGAAGTATGGGTCTCTAGCATTTCTCTGCTTCAAATATGTATTAAACTCATATGCATATTGTATTCCTTTTCTCAGGATCATCGGGATCATTCTGGAGATGGAGCAACAGGTTAATTTATTAAACATTTACTTTCTATAAACCTTATCTGATTATTTCTCAGATTTTTACGTATTGTTGGTTCATCGGACACACTAAATACCACCAATGCTATTGGAAATGAGATAACTCAACTGGAGGAAGCCAGAAAATTCCATCTTTCTTTGTATACCAAGGTAATATCTATACATTTCTTGGGAGTTGATACTTCAAAGAAATGTTTGAGACTCCCAAAAAACTTCCACAATTCGACCCACAATGCTTTGTTTCGATAAGTGTCAACTTTTGATTTGTTACACCCAATGATATAGGACTCAACTCCCTTGCCACATCATTGTGGGTGAATTTGTGGGTTTAGAAGTATGGGTCTCTAGCATTTCTCTGCTTCAAATATGTATTAAACTCATATGCATATTGTATTCCTTTTCTCAGGATCATCAGGATCATTCTGGAGATGGAGCAACAGGTTAATTTATTAAACATTTACTTTCTATAAACCTGGGATTGCTAAAATATAGAGCTGCTGCATTAGTTTTTTGTGCTTCCACTGAGGATGTAACTTGGCCATTTTAATCAAAGCCTGATTGAACTCCATGCTAGTAGATCTGTTTATTTATGGAATGTAAATTATCACTTTGAACTGTCTTGTAAATTGAGACAAGCCAATGTCACAGTTAGTGTGGGGAGAATAGATTGAATAAAACAAAAGAGAAGAGAAGAAGAGAACAGGGAAGTATTTTGTCTGTCAATTAAGCCTAAAATGAAGAAGTTAGTGTGGGGTTTGATAGGTTGGATTTTCCCCCATTTGTAAATTGTTGTGTGTCCTCCTCTTTCATTATGATCAAGTTTCATGTTTGCAATTGTATTTCCCCATTTGTTTTTTAGCTAAATACTCAGTGATTGTTGGTGCCCCTTCTCTAACAGACTGCTGCAACTTGAATGGTGTGGAACCACAGATTAAGGTAATTGCTATTTCTTTACCCTTTTAGTATAACACATAATTGTATTTGGCAACTAATATGGTTTGCGGTAACAGGATGAAGTTGAGATTGTGTCATCAGATGCAACAAAGTACGTAAATTGGTTGTTTTGTTATCAATAATTAAATTTTTCTCTGCTGTGTGTGCCAAATTACACCTTGAACACTGACAGGAATGAATTGCTGCGAGCAATGGATTTGAGGCTAACAACATTAAGAGGAGAATTAGCTGCTGCTTTCAACGAGGCTGCTGGAGCCACATGCTCTTCAAAGCATGTCTCTGATATGGAAAAGCTTTCTCAACATTTTGGAGCCATAGATTTGAGGTATTCAAAGTTTTTGTGTAATAATAATTCTTAAAGCTACTGTGTCATTTTCCTCATCCTCTTCTTTCCTTTTTCCTTCTTTTTACTTTCTAATCATTGTGATACAAAAATTTTAAATGCCCAACTATTAGATAGTAATGACCAACATTAATAAATTTTTGTTGGGAAATTTAGCCAAAACCCCTCCATTGGACCCTTATTTAGTGAAAAAGACAACCCAATTTATTTTGCTTCATAAACCCACTAAGGAAACACATAATTGAGCAAAGACAGTAAAATATCTTTTTTTTTTCTTTGACAATATTGCCAGAGTAACATATTACTGTCAAACAAAGTAACATGTTACTGTCAAACAGAGTGACATGTTACTGTTATTGTTTACATTAATTTCGACGGTAATATATATATTTTTTAAAGAATTTCATAGTCAACATCGATCTCATTTGATAGATCTTTATGCAAAAATTCTAAAAATACTAATTTTATTAAAAACCAACATCTATATCAAAAGTTATATTATTTTAAAGTTTAATATTTTGATAATAATGGTATGTGTTGGACTTTTCAAGAAAAACTTTTTGTGCTTGTCCTTAATGCATTAAAATTTTATTACAAAGGGGTTTTGACCAAATCCCTCATTTTTGTTGTGTTTTGTAGGGGTACTTTGCATAAGTTTTTAGAACTGAGCCAAATAGGACAGGCTGTTGATTTACCAAGTGATGAGAAGTCCCCTGCCACAATTTATTCAAGAAATGATAGGGTCAATAAGATATTAAAACCATCGCACTCAGATACACCAGTAAAATATGGTGTCTCTCCCGCCAAAGTTGCCCAGGTTGAGCGACAAGGTTCATCAGAAAGTGAGGAATCTTCTTACTTGAGTGAGGATGATCAGCCATCTGTGGAACGAAGTCGGACTCTCATTAGGTGTGCATCACCTAGAAGGTCAGCATCTCCAATGCGGAGGGTCCAAATAGGGCGATCTGGGTCACGCAAGGCTACTGCACTGACCATTAAGAGCCTCAATTTTTTTCCTGCTAGAGATAAGACATTATCTTATAGAGATGCAACTGCAAACAGTAGCGAAGAGGAAGGATCTGAGCAACCCCCCAAAAAACCTGATAGTAATGCACGGAGAATGAGTGTGCAAGATGCAATCAATCTTTTTGAAAGTAAACAAAGAGATCAAACTTCGGATATTCAGAAGACAAAGCCAACTTTAGATGCCCTTGCTGGTACAAATAAATCTGTATTGAGAAGATGGAGTGCAGGTACAGGTGAAATTTCCACCCAATGCCTTCCAGAAATTGGTTCTGAAAGTTCTGTTCCAATGACTTCCAGTAATTTAGAGGGAGAAGAAATTCCAAGGAGTTCATTAGCAAAACTGGACTGTGAATTCATTTCAGGAGATAACAATCCTGTTGAGGCTGCTAAAGTAGAGGCAAACATAGAAACTTTTGATGAAAGAATGTCTAATTCAATTGGAAGTAAAGCAGATATTCTTGTAATCGAAAGTGAGGAAGACACTGAAAAGTTAGCAGCCTCAACAGAATGGAATCAACAGAAGGAAGCAGAGTTGAATCAGATGCTGATAAAAATGATGGAAAGTAAGCCTGTTAGGTATCAGAATATAGCACCTGAAAATAACAGAAGCCAAGATGGTCCACATGAACAGAGAGGGGGGTTTTATGATCACTACAAAGGAAAGAGGGATGAAAAACTTAGGGGAGAAACAGCAGGAAAGCGAGCAGAGAAAGAAGCACAATTTAGAGCAATGCAGCAAATTCTTGATAAAAGAAAAACTGAAATGGCCTCAAAAAGTTCTTTGGCTAAGCCCCAAAAATCGCGTAAGAGTTTAACTCAATCTGCCAATCCCAAGGAGTCAACAAAATCTGCTGTTGCGAAGAAAGCATTATCTAAGGCATCACCCTCACCTGCTATGCGTAAGTCATGGCCATCAACTCCATCACCAAGAGCCACAACAGGGACATCACCAGCTAAAGCTCCGTGCGGAAACTCATCTGCTGGTACTACACCTACACGTCGGAAACCTCAGCCCGCACCATCAGTTCCTCAGTCGAGCCCAAAGGTGGAAAGAACTGTGCAGCGGCCCAAAACTGTGAAGGCTAGCCAAAATGACACTAGGAAGAGCACGAAAGCCATGACCGAGAAGCAGCAGCAACCATTAACCAAAAATGAGAAAAGTGCAAAAACTAAAGTTCAGATGACTTCTGGAAAGGACAGTTCAACAGTTGCAGCAAAGCCTAGTTTCTATAACAAGGTGACCAAGAAGAGCAGTGTAGTGCCACTGGAGTCAAAACCTTTCCTTCGTAAGGGCTCTGGTATTGGCCCCGGTGTGGGTCCTGTTGTTGTCAAGACAAAAGCTTCTTCTCAGCCTGAGGAAACTTTGAAAACTGCAGCAAATCTGATCCGAGCTCAGGAAAATGAGGTGGTTACTGACATTTCTGATCCAATCAGTCAGGTTACTGACATTTCTGATCCAGTCAGTCAGCAGGAGGGGGATCTTGAAGCACCGGAAATTCATGCTGATTTAGAATCAGAAACTCAGTTAACTAATGAACAGAAATGTGATGACACAGTGATTTCTGAACAAGTTACTGCCAATGGTGATGATAATAGCTTTATAATGGTGACGGAGTCTGCATTGAAAACTGAGGCTGAAGAAGAAGAATCAGTTATCTCCCTAACGGCCTGGGTAGAAATAGAAGAGGATCAAGATTTACCTATTCCACATGAGGACAGCACATGCCATATTGCATCTGCAACCAATGTTGCACCAGTAGCAATGTCGAGTCCACGTGTCCGCCACTCTTTGTCACAAATGCTTCTAGAGGAGAGTGCTGAACCTGATATTGTTGAATGGGGAAATGTCGAGAACCCTCCTGCAATGGTGTACCAAAAAGATTCACCCAAAGGATTGAAGAGGCTCTTGAAGTTTGCTCGAAAGAGTAGGGCGGATCCAAATTTGACTGGTTGCCCTAGCCCATCTGTGTTTTCTGATGGAGAGGATGATGCTGAGGAGTCTAAAGCTGTTGGTATGAAAAATGCGGACAACACACTGAGGAAGGCTGCCCTACATCCAAAGAACTACGGGCAACAAAAGACTTCATTAGGTGAAGGCTATGAGAAAAATCCAGCTGGACCTGAAATGCTTTCCGGTACATTTGCTTCCATCTCCATGCTTTATATCTTTGTTGTGCATAAGCATGGGACTCAAAGTGAGTTGAACTGTTAATCGTCTTAGTAGTAAGCATGAAACTTAGTGGTTGCCTAAGCAGCACTGACACGGGACAATAGTGATTCTTAAAAAAAATAAGATACAGACATGACAGTGATACGGCAAAAACATTTATTTTTCATATACTTTTATTTACCATGTATATGAATATAAAATTAGGATACGTAGATATAAAAAGTATCAATGTATAAGAGTGTTTATTTTTATTTTTTTACTTTTTTCTTCTTTTATTTACATATAATTTACCTTGACCTCAAATTAACTTTGTAATCAACTTTTAAAAAATAAAAAAATAAATACCTGTCTTCAACATGTCCTACAAAAAAATATAATTTAAACAATCAACACGCCATTTAGCATGTCGAACATGTGGATACTAGTGTCCATCTTGGAGTATCGGTGCTTGCTAGGTGGTTACTGAACGGTTTAAAGCCTGAAAACACTTCCATGGCATTCTTATCTCTTCTCTTTTATTTTCACTGTCTATCTTAACAGCATAAATTAGCTAGTTTTTCAGTGATATTGTGTTCTTATGTGCGCTTTATGATTGACACATTTGCCTAGTCTGGACTCTGATACTGATAATTATAACGGATGATATGCATACAGCTCAATCAAATACAAGCAAATTTGGCGCTCAGAGTTCTTACCACAAGTTCCAGGACCACAATCCAGCTGCAGCCACCACAACTAAAGGTTATTTTTGATATCCTATTCCGAGTGATTAGTCTCTTTCCTTTCCTAGTGGTTCATCTTCTCTTATTGTCCATAGATTCCAATATTCTCTACTATGTTTGTGTTTCAGCAACAAGATCATTCTTCTCTCTTTCAGCATTTAGGGGCAGCAAACCGAATGAGACAAAGCTTCGTTAATGCTAGCAAAAATTACAAGTAAAAAAAATTTAGTAGGTACCATCTGTCTGTAGCTATATACTGGTGAAATTTGGCTTGAGGCAACTCCATCTTTCTTCACCGTCCGGACCATAATTTTAAGCAGCATACTATCTGTGGTCTGGGAGAGAATCCTCTGCTTTTGGATGCATTATTGATGATGAGGGTGTTAATATGTCTACAGATTCAATGTTTCATATCCAGGTTTAGCAACACTCCTTGGATGGAAACAATGAATTTTTACTTTGTCCTGTCAGTTGACCATTTTGTTCATATGTCTCTTCATAAAAGTATTTTTAACTTTCAAATTATTTGTTTTTTATTTTTGTGATTATCTATAATTCGTTATTTATGGATTCTCTACAATTGATTATTACTGTTTGTTGCTGAGAAAGACACTTGTTTGGTTGGTGGCTTTCTGTTCATTGAACAATTGCATTTCCGATGTGGTTATCGTTAGAGATATTGCTCATTCATGACCTTCCCAACTGGGTTTGCACTTCAGAGGTACACAAATCTTATTGATTTATTGGAGGGTTAATTACACTAAGACCCCCTAACTATTAGCAAATATCACTTTATCCCTTCATTCATTTTGGAACATGTGCATATTGATTTTCTGAGTAATGAATATCGAACAAATACACCTCTTTTGCAAGGGCTTGCAAGGAAAATTTTAATTATGCAAAACTTGTAAAATCCGATACATTTTCTCAATCCCAAGAAAGATTAGTATAATTTACCCAAAATTGTTATCATTATTATTTTTCAAATTTGCCTTTCTTTTTCTTTTTCCCGACAAATTCAAAATCTACACGTGTAACATTAAATTCGTGCTCTACTGTCAATGTTACTTTGACAAAGCAGAGCACTTCCGGTAAAGGACAATTCACCATCTTTTTCCGCTTTGCTGGTATGGAGTGCAAGTTCAGAAACTGGTCCCAGCCCCTTTTGCATGAGCGTGGTTCGAAACTGGCCCCAACCCCTTTGGTATGGAGTGCGAGTTTAGAAACTGGCCCCGGCTCCTTTTGCAAGAGTGTGGTTCAGAAACTGGCCCCAGCCCCTTTGGTATGGATTGCGAGTCCAGAAACTCGCCCCTGCCCCTTTTGCACAACTATGTGATACCATATCCAACTCATGCTTTCGATTCAATAATAAATAGGAAGTGTGCAATATTGCACATCTAGGTGGCCTCCTTTAGTTCCTGCTATCATTTGTCTTCCCATTCTCAGTTGCCACTATGTTGGGATCAGATATTCCATCAAGGAACAACATCTAAATGCATGTAATTTATAACTAGAAGAAAAAGTAGTGAAAAAAGCTATGTTTGGAACACAGGTTTTTTGTGGGAAAGGAAAAGAAAATGGAAAGAATGAGAAGGAAAATGTAGTTCCAAGATCCAAACATAGTATTGAGTAAAACTACACTACTAGATCTACCCAAAAGATAAATCTAATAAAATATACTTCCACCTCCTGCTTAAACCTTGAAAAAACGCCAGCATACTATCAGCTAAAGAGAACGATTCAATCTCTCACTCAACATAGGCAGCTCGGTTTTTGCTGGATTAAACTGCAAGAATAGTGGCCTGTTCACTGAACAAGCTTGTGAGCTTCTCTCTCAAGGCCTTGCAGATACGGGAATATCGTGTTTGCATGAGATCCATAGTATCGTGAAAAAATTACAGCCACCCGATTTAAGCAGTCCATGGCACTTTGATCACCCAGGGATAGCTGAATCGATGAAAGTTTAACCAATTCATTTCCAATAGCAATGTGGTCGGGACCATAGAGCTTTTCAAGAATCTGCCAATTCAATGGAGAAATGAATTCCCAATCAAATTTCTTTACTCATCAATTGTACCACAAAAAAAAAACAAAAACAAAAAGTGAAGGATATATTGCAAGTGCAATCAAATTAATCATACTGATTTTTAACTTCTGAATCCAGCAAAGACAAACGAATTTTGGAAAAAACAATGTTTAAAGAAATTGATTAACCAATGCTCCAAAACCTGGAAGCTATGCAACCCCTTTAAAATAGGGCAATTCAAAACAGATATATTAGGAATCAGAAAATTGATTGAAATAGTATAAATTTACAGAAGTATTAAATAGATTTACTTAGCACACACCAAGTAAACAATCTTACTTCACCTACCAACAGACTCCCATCATTCATAAAATCGCTATGCATATGGTGAGACCCATTCTACATTTTTATACAGGTCAATTGGCCAAATAGGTACTGCTATCATAGAGACGAACATTGCTGATGGAAAATGGATTTGAAAGAATAGTGTACGAAAGAGAAAGGAGATGGACTTTCTGATCGCTTATTATTAATACGACAAGGACTTTAATTTTGGGATAATTTTTTACCAAAACTCTTCATTCAATTTTCTCAGAAATAAATGAGCCTTTATCTGATCTTTTTCAGATGCAAACACACAAAACTATATATATATATCAACTGAGTGCAGCAATATCTGTCCTATAAATGCTGGTATTCCAATATCCAAGGATAGGTTTCAATTCTCTAATTTACCCTAGCTGTAGTCTAAGCAGCATGAACAGTTTTAACACTTCTACAAATGATGGACACGGACACTTATTGGACACTCCTATAAACATGTCCAACACTTCTTGAACATTTCTTTATTTAAAACTGAAATTTATAATTTCAGGTACTTTACAGACACTACTTAAAAACCACCTATGCAGCGAATCACTTCATATCCGATATTCTTGGGCACTGATGAGACAGTAGGCAGCAGTTGTAAGCATTAATTATTTGTGGAGCTTCAACTTCTGCTTTTGTTTTGCCAATTATAAATATCAAATTTAGATAATTTATTTATACGTCAATGTGTCTATAGTGGTCTTGGGACATCTCCAATATCTTGTTGCAATGTGGTGCAACAAGTGGTATGAATCCATTTTGGTTCAATAACATATAGTCTATAGCTCTAAAATAGATCCCTTCTAAGTCTTGTTGAAAAATGGTTAAGAGAGTTCATGAATCCGTTGTGCACTGGGTACAAACAAGTTGTAATCCCATAGTGAATACCCAAAATAAAATAAAATAAAATAAAAAATCACTGGATGACATGACAAATAGATGATTTACCTCAATTGATGCCTCACAATGGTCCATTGCCAGTTGTAGCTCTCCAAACAAACAAAATGCCTGTGCAAGGTTGTCCTCCACCTGAAATTATTACATGGTCACGCAAATCATTTTGAGCCATAGGTATCGCCACAACTTATGAAGCATGGACACACCAAGAAGCGTGCCATACCCATACTAGATACATACCGGGTACTAATACTTTACATGGTACTTTTGCATACGTATCGAGTACACAAAGCACATACTCAAATTTTTTCTTCTTAGTTTTTTGCCTTAGCCGAAATAATATTTTATTCCATATAGAGGTGAAATTAGTTTCATTGGGCTTTTATTTAAGCTTAGCATGATTTTAAAATTAAGTTTTGTTTTGTAAGTTATTTAATATAATGACACTTAATTTTGGTTTATACCATAGTTTTGGCATTAAATGTAAATTGTAGGTTTGACCTTAACCAACTAAACCATTTAACTAATTTTTACATTACTCCAAATTAAAAATTAAATATTTTTTACAAACGTACCCAGCCGTGCCTATACCCTACTTATTTTAGATTTTACCATATCAACATATCCGTACCGCACCAATACCAGTATCCATACACATGCTTCATAGGCCACAACTATGACCATCAAACAAATTTTCAGCCAGAAAATGAAATGCGAGATAGGCCAGTCACCAAACTTGCTTGTTCCCAAACATAAAATACAAGAAATATTTCATCGAACCCAAGGGTAAGAACATGGATCAAGATGATTTATCGAGAAAAAAAAAAAAAAGAACATGGATCAAGATGCTCCTTGTAACCCTAGAAATCTAGAACTCACCTCTGCAATGTTCTTGTTGTATGCATGCAATGTTGACCGGAGCAGATCAAACGATACCAAAGCATCTGAGAGAGTATTAGGTCCGACTTCATTAGCAATTATTGCATCCTGCAATCTGTTGAATAAAACATTTCAACATGAGATGCCCATAAAGAAGGCAAGCATGCATCCCATATATAAATATGTCTATATGCATCTTGTTTATATAGCCTTATATGCATATATGTAGGCAAGTACAAATGCACTTTACGGTGTCTAAGAAATAAATGCACTTCAAAGAAACAAATATGTACCCTCTGATACAAATCTCAGCTTTATTGGCCATTGCATGTAAAGCTTCCAGATCGCGATAAGTACCACAATTCAAACAATATCCAGGTTCAATTTGATTGCTGCATCCGGTTTGTTCAAACACAAGGCCAGCCACTTTATCAATGTCATCATCTTTTGGTTTTTCAACCTTCAAAAGATCAGAAACTTCAGAGTTACAAAACAGGATGACATATAATAGGTCACATTCTAGAAATGGCATTACATCAATGCCATGTATAACAGAGTGAAATCCACCAGTTGTGAGTCCCAAATTTTAGCACTAAAGTAAGATCGTTTGGATGGAGTGAATGTAATTTGACACATCTGCTTTCTCATATTTAGATATTAGGTTCAAAATGAGAAAATAGTTGACCAGAAAATACATCTACTTGTGCCGATGTAGGTTCATAAACCTTTTTATTTGTACAACTCATCTAAAAGCTTAAGATGCTAAAGAGAGGAGCGGTGAGGTTTGAACCCATGATCTATTGTCTATTCTTATACCATGCTAAGTTATAAACCACCAACTTACCTGAAGCTTAAGCTGCTAGTGAGAGGGATAGCCAGTCTTGCAGCTTTTAATTGAATCTTTTAATGTAACTGCAAGACCATACTTTTTTTTCTTTTTTTTTCCCGATAGGTTCATGACCATGCTTAACTACCCAAGATTTGTTTTTAAAAAAAGTTTCTGTTTTAGAAAAGAGATTCACATACTAGAACTGGGGCATATAGGATACCTGTACATGAGTCTCTGAACTGCAAATTGGAGGGACAACGAGGTGGTTGATTTTCTGTTTTTCATACTTGGCCACACAGCTATCCAAGACTACACCAAAACAATTTGGTTTGACACACCGAAAAGCATTTAGCACAAGGTCAGATAAATTTAACTCTGAGCAACCTCTGCACCAACATCTAAATGAGTATTTATCTTCCAGAAATTCTTGGCGGTGCTTACAGTCCCACTGCCCAACCTGTGAAACAAAAACTTCCATTATCGATTCAAATAGCTGTCTCTGCCAGTGCTATTGATACATCAACCAAAATGACAAAGGGAATTCTCCAGCCTATCAGAACAAAACTAAAAAGTAGATACCCAACTCAAAATGCCTTCACACTACTCTCATACAAAACCCTAATAAACAACTGAGACAAATGCCACTTATCAAGAGTAAGAATACCTGTGGACCGTAGGACAGCTCTAGTGGGCACCCTGCCACCACAAATTCTGTGGCTCGAATATAGAGAGTCCGAGACAGGAAATATGCGTGAATGTTTGGCTGGCAAGAATGGTTAAACAGACTGCCAGCTGAATAAACAGCTTGACCTACTCTAACCTACAGAATAGCATCAATCAGAAAACAGTAAAATTAGGGGAGAAAGCCTTTTGATTATAGTAAAACACTCGAAATCAATTACATTCATAATTCTCAACTCTGAATGAAGGGTCTACAAAATTACACTATTTAAATGCATTATTGAAGAAAGAATTTTCTTTTAGTGTGTCTTCATAAAACGGTTCTTCCTGCTGCAATAAATGCTTTCTTCATGACGCTGAGAATTTTTTTTTATCAACATAATTTGCAGGTTGCAATCAGCCTTGGTCCTGGTACTCAATGGTAATCAACAAAATGAGTTCCACTGTTCTCCATTTTCCCTCTCAAGAAGTTTTTTTTTTTTTTCAAACTTTAGCCACGAGGCCCACACCACCGTTCCAAACTGCCATTATGTCACGTCTGTTATCTCCTTTGATGCAAAGAACTCCACAAGCAGGTAGTTTCCTCAGAAAAAAGACAACATACTTGTAACCATTTTTCCAAGTAAATGCAAAATGTGCTTCCAAGTTCATGTACTATGACACCACATTTTCCTCAAGTCGTCATTACCATAACACCAATGGACTTATCCTCTGTATTGCTCAATGCATTCAAAACTACGGGGTTTATGAGGAATACACGAATTGCTTGCCTCATATATTGATGCTTCAGATCACAGTTATAATTTTTTTCGAAAGGTGGTTGACATGAAAGGAATTAGAGGTATTGCATTCCCAACATGAAAGGAATTAGAGGTATTGCATTCTCAACACTTCAACCTTTGTCTACATGAAAGGAATTAGAGGTATTGCATTCTCAAGATGCAAGGATTGGGTGAAAAATCAGCTTTATGTGAACCCACAAGGGGAACCAAGATTGAACCAGAAAGTATTTTGGTCTTAGGAGAAAATATAATGCATGGAGGTGACTACGTGATTTGAGGCAAGTGAGGGAGAAAGCCTTCCACTTATAGGCCCTGTTTGGTAGGGTTTATTTCCAGCTTATTTCAGCTTTTAGCTTAATTTAAGATATTTTGATGTGTTTGGTTCAGCTTAACAATACAACTTATAGCTTTTTGTAAGTCAAAAATCAACTTATTCTTTGAGTGGGGGAGGAGAAGCTTAATTTATAAGTCAAAAATCAGCTTATGTTCACAGTTATAAGCTATAAGCAGTTATGTTATAAGCTATAATCACTTTCCCACAGATCTACCAAACAAGTCATAAGTTACAAGCTAGATGAGAAATGTTGCCAGGGACGACCTACCAAGGCTTTCTCACTCAGTTTGAAAAATCTATGATCTTTATTAAAGGACATGCAAGTCTTTAATGATCGCTCTAATTAGTACAAAAATAAGCCAACTGTAATTGCAGAAGGGGAGCTGTTACTTTTGGATTCATACAGTTCGAACTCCATCCAATTTTAAGTGGGCTCCTTACTGGATTTGGCCATGGTTTTCTTGATTTTTTTTTCCAATTTCGGTTTTTTGCCATTTATTTTGAAGAGCTCTCTCCCTATATTGTTGTACCATTTTTTTTTGTACTGCATTTAGTTTGAAAAAAGAATGCAATTGTCCATCTGATACCCCAATCCTCTGAGCAACAAACCCCACCGTATCCATCGACTCTACTTGTAGGAGTACCGTCAAGAAAAGGAACATTTTCAATAAGAAAAATTGTCCAACATGATATCATTGCAACAAAAGTTCACGAGGAAATACTCTAGAAGAATAGCAAAAATGAAAATTCAAGTAGCACCTGTACAAACCTGTTCCAAATTACTAGTTAAAGCACCTCCAGCTTGAGAAAATTTTCCAGACTGATCCATTGAGCAATATACATCAGGAAATTTCATACGAACAATTGCCATAGAATTTACCTTGATTTGAGACAGTAATATAACAAACTGCATCCAGGAAAGGAAAAAGAACATAACTACAGATTAGATGGCAATAAAATGTTTGGGGCACGCAACAGTTCCCTGTCTATTCTGAATCTTCATTGAGATTAATTTCTTAACATCTAAAGTATTCACATTCTAGTAGAGAAAAACAATGGATTAGAACAAAACATATTTCCGAAACATTTATGAATATTTTTGCCTCTAAGCTAACCCAAACAACATATCAAAACGAATTTTGATCCTTGAGGAAAACTTTTGGAGAGAATTTTGTCTTTCTCTCAACTTAAAATTCTGTTTTTCTTGGAAGCTAACCAAAACAACATATCAAAACGAATTATGTCTCTCTCAACTTATAATTCAGTTTGCACAACTCTTGTACATGATCGTAAGTTTTTTTCTCTTTTTTTTTTTTTTTTGATAAATAACCAAACTTTATTGAGAAAGCATCAAGATGACGCAAAAAATACAAGAGCAGCCTGAAAAGCCCGACCAAACTAACGAATCAAATCCTCTACAAAATCTACAAAAGCCAACACATCTGGATCTACTAAACCTGTCACCCAACTATACAATACTGAAAGAAGCCACCTCTCTAAGTAAGGGATGGAGTGAACCACCCCTTGAAACACCCGCATATTACGCTCCAACCAAATCAACAACATTAAACAGTGTGAAGCAAGAATCTAAGTCTTTCGACGTCTCCTTCCAACCCTTTTCCCCCACCCAACTTTGTAAAACTGTGAACACAGAATCCGGTTGAACCCAAACTAAATAAAAAACTACAACCACAAGCATCCAAAAACGAGATGAGACCAAAAAATGAATAAGCAAATGGTCAACCGACTCTGCTGCCCTACTGCACAGACAACACTAATTCACCAAAATATGCCCACGACGAATCAAATTATCAGTAGTCAAGATACGCCTCAAGCTTGTTGTCCTAACAAAAAAGGCAACCTTAGACGGCATGCCCTACACCCAAACACCTTTCCACGGATAAACCATAGTGACATCATGAACATGCACATCTTCAACAAGCGCCCCATAGAACAAAGACACGGTAAAAATACCTTTAGATCTAGGACAATCCCAAACCAAGGAACCTTGACCTGCCCTCCCAAGATGCAAACCATATAAAAAAACCCAGAAATTCCACTAACTGATCTTGTTCCTAATCCTAGACATCGCGACGCAACTGCACATTCCACACCATTGACTGCCCTTCCCCAACCCTCACAGCACCTACTTACACCTCACAATCAGTAGCAATAACGAAGATCAAAAGGAATCAAAACTCTAAAGACAAGTCACCATACTACCTATCCCGCCAAAAACGAACTCTATCCCCCACACCAACTTTCAACCTCACCCTCCTCCAAAACGCCTCCCGACCTAGCTAGATCCTTTTCCACAAACCACAACCATGATAATAACCCACCCTTCTTGAACACCACTCCCCCCTTCCCACACCAAACTTAGCAACCACCACCCTCCTCCAAAGTTGCTTCCTCTCCTCCACAAAACGCCACAACCACTTTCCCAACAAGACCAACCTTCGAACCCCCAAGCCCCCTCTCTCCTTAGGCAAACAAATCCAAGCCTGTGACACTAAATGACAATGAGCACCCTCACCTCCACCACCCCACAAAAAGTCCCGCTGCAGCTGCTCAATCCGCTTTGCTACTAACACCGAGATCACATGATTAGACATAAAGTCGGGATACTCAACAAAATGCTTTTAATCAATGTAAGTCGTCCTCCCTTTGATAAATACTGCCATTACCATCCTGCCAGCTGTCGTTGCACCCGATCCACCACCCTATCCCATACCCCTTTCGCCTTAAAGGAAGCCCCCAAAGACAAGCCCAGATATGTGATCGGCAAAAAAACCACTTTACACCCCAAAATAGTTGCCAAAACCGAAGATCTTGCCACTTCCCCCACCGGGATCAATTCTGATTTTGCTAAGTTTACCCGAAACTCGGACACTACCTCAAAGCACAGCAACACACATTTCAAATACCCAATGTGGTCCTCCTCTGCATCACAGAAAATGAGCGTGTCATCCGCATAAAACAAATGAGACACCTCCACAGCCCGTGGAGCCACCCCTACCTCAAACCCTTTCAACAAACCTTCTTGCACCACTCTTGCCAACAAACACCCCAAAGCCTCCATAACTAGGATAAACAGTGAAGGAGATAAAGGATCACCCTGCCGCAACTCTTGATGAGTCGGAAAGAAACCTGTCGGGGTCCATTAACCAAGATCGACATCCGCACAATAGAAATGAAAACTGAACCCAACGCCGCCACCAATCCCCAAATCTCATCCTCTCCAGCATGTGCATCAAGAACTACCAATTCACATTATCATAAGCCTTCTCAATATCTAATTTACAATTAATACCCTCATTTCCTTGACGCAACCGCAAGTCCACACACTCATTTGCAACAAGCACCGCATCCAAGATCTGCCTACCCCCCAAAAAGCATTCTAGGAGTCCGAGACCACCCCTTCCAGCACTCCTCGTAAACGGATCGCCAAGACTTTAGCCAACACCCTATACACACAACCCAAAAGACTAATAGGCTGGAAATCCCTAATATCCTCCACCCCATCCTTCTTTGGAATCAAGACAATAAATGTAGTATTAAGGCTTTTCTCAAATTTGCCTGTCTGATGAAACGGCTCGAACACAGCCATCACCTCTATCTTTACCACCTCCCCAACACTATTGGAAAAAGGAAATAGTAAACTCATCTAGACCAAACGCCTTATCCCTTGACATATTGTGCAATGCCTTAACCACCTCATCTTCTGTAAATGGCCTTTCCAATAAAGTGCAATCTACCTCTAAAATAACATCGAAAATCACAGAATCTAGACCCGGTCTCCACCCATCCCCTACATTTCGAAACAAAAGCTCATAGAAACCCATAATACGTGCCTTAACATCCTCCGAGGACGAAAACTCCACTCCATTCGCTCGTATTCACCCTATCTGATTGACCTGCCAGTGAGCATTCGCTATATGGTGAAAAAACTTCGTGTTACGGTCCACATCCTTCAACCACAGGCATCTAGACTTCTGACGGGAACTGACTTCCTCCATGTGAGCAATTGGGCCAAACTCCTTATGAACCTCCTCCCAGAGCCATATCAGCCTCAGACAGCCCCCAGCACCTTCTTTCTCATCCAACTCCTGCAACGCTGCCAATACCTTTTCCTTCTGAACATCTAACCGCCCAAATACCTCCCTATTCTATCTTTTCAGGTCTAATTTGAAAAGCTTCAATTTCTACGCTATCCGAGAACTCGGCAATCCTGCCACGTTGTAAGAGTCCCACCAACCTTTAACCATCTCCACAAAGCCCTTAGACCACAACCACGTGTTCTCAAACCGAAAAGGCATTGAACCACTCCTGATGCCCCCACTATCCAGCAAGATTGGCCAATGATCCAAAGTTGGGCGCTGCAATCTCTATTGGGTTGCCTATAAGAAGTGTTCCTCCCAATCCCCTGTGACCAGAAATCTATCAATTCGAGACATCGCTCCACCCCCAGACCAAGTGAAACCACCACCCTGAAGCAGTAAATCGAAATTTGCCAAAAAGTTCGTTTTCCCCCCCTTTAATATAAGTGTGGGTATTTGGTCTTCCATATGTGATATTATCCATTTGTGAGCTTTCATCGGTGCACAACATTGCATGCACTTTTCAATAAATAAAACTTGTCAAACAGTATTTAAGCACATTTCCAATAGAAATCCAATAAAGGCTTCATGAATACCGCTAAATCAAACATGAAGGTGTTCTACAAGGGAGGAAATGGAAAAACAGAGTAGGGGTATGTCTATTACCTTTGAAATAGTATCTCCATTTTTTTGAAATTCGGAACCATAATAGTGCTGAAGACAGTATAACAAAATGATGGAATGAATATGCAACTCCAATTTTCTGTCTGGAGGTAACTGTTCATAATTGTGAGAAAGATCCTACAAGAAAATTAAGGCTATCAAGTTGGAACCTTTTGTACCCCAATAAGACAAACAACTGAAATGGATATCAATAGAGAACGTAGAAAGATAAAGTACCAAATTTCCAATAATGTTAGAAACATAGCTGCAATGTCTTTGTTGCCCAACAGACTTCGCTAAGATTCGACCGGCTAGAACTATTTCAGAGGGCAATACTAAGGGCCAATGTACACCATGACATTCATGTCTATGTTCAGCAAAATGTTGAATGTCTGGAGAAGAAACATAGGGTACAGTAATATCTGCAATGTATTTTTCAAGCTCATCCGATAAAGTTTCGCGAATGTCATAATTTTTTGAGTTTTTTCCTGTATTTTTTCCTCCAGCTTGTTCTTGACATTGCTGAGAGCAATATAATGGTATTGAACATGATGGACATGGAACTGTATCTGCTGGTAGTTCGTTCAAGCAGAAATGACAATGAGTTTCCCGACATGACTTCAATATGATCTGGCAAATCACTGTGTGATGTAAGAATCACTCCAGCAGAAATAAGATCACAATTAAAAATGAATTTGGGGGACGACATTTATACTCAAACCTGCACTTAAATGCCAAACAATAACAACTCATTCTCTTAAACAAAGGGATTGACTGTGACAAGCAAATATCTTCAGAAAACCAAATAGATACATCTCACTTTAAGCAAATTAGATTGGAGTATTTACGTCATATATTCTCTCTCTCTCTCTCTCTCTCTCTCTCTCTACACACACACATACACGCTCTGATTGCTGTATACACATAAAACATTGCCTCAATTGGTGTAAAACACGGTTTTTAAAATCGTGATCCATCACCATATATGAGTTGTATTGGGAAAATTGACATGCTTTGGTTTGAGTAGAAAAACAAGATGGATAATGCAAGTTCATTTTAATGCATAGGCTTAGTGCCTGTAAGTCTAATGTCTTTGATAAGTAACAACATTGAAAAATAACTGAGTAACTAAAAAATTTCTCAAGACATTCTTAGTGTAAGCCTATCTTTTTAAAGAAATGAAAAAAAAAAAACAAAACAAAACAAAACAAAACAAAAACAAAATAAATGCAGCAGATAATTCGCCACAGAAAAGTATCCCAATAACTCAACTATATTGAAAAATAACTGAGTAACTAAAAAATGTCTCAAGACATTCTTAGTGTAAGCCTATCTTTTTAAAGAAATGAAAACAAAACAAAACAAAAACAAAAACAAAATAAATGCAGCAGATAATTCGCCACAGAAAAGTATCCCAATAACTCAACTATTGTTGCAAAAGTACTCAACAAAAGTAGATTCACTAAAATATATTGAATGAAGCTGCAGCATAAAACCAAAAGACAAGTCAATATCTAGGAAAGCTGGAGTATCTGATGTTACTAATAAGATAAGACTTTTATTCGTACCGCAGCATAGGGTTCTTCAGCATGAATCAGAGAAGACTGAGGAATGTCAGTCAGAGAAACCATGCCCCTTCCTTTAGTTGGTGAAGAGACACATTGCAGTTTTATTTGATGCGGCTCATCTGTCACAGAAGACCTACATTATAAGAATCAAGAAAAATAAAAAAAGATACAGCTGCCTTATAAGATAAATGTTGGCTACAAACAAACTGTTCATACAAAGTGAAGGTTTTAGAGGGCACACCCTGCAAAGGTAACATTCAAATGAATATATTAGTTTGTAATTTTGATTGTTATTAACTTTTTGCTAAGATCAAGATCATTATTTTTGACACTGTGTTTCATATCCTAGAAGGCCCCAATCCGGCCACCTCACAGCCAACCTTCCACATCTGCATTCATATAGTTAACGTTGTTGTACTATTTAAAGAAATTTTTAAAGTTGATTGCAAAAATTTTTGTGCCATGATATGTCCATTGCATATTTATCTAGAATACCACTTCAAATGTTTCTTGTTATCATTTACACTGATGTAAAATATAGTTTCCAATTTGTTGGTTTAAGTTCAGCCTGTATCAACCAGAGTCTCAACAACAATTGATTCATGGGAATGAATTGAGTGCGTCTATTCCAAGTTTCAACGTGTTCGTAAATACCAAATATGGACTTTGTTGAGTCAATGTGGCATAGATGAGAGAGCCTATCTAGGTTTGTTATATGAGATGGGTATTATAAGATAATAGGATTGTATCCAAATCTTGAGTCAAGTCTTGATCATGTCAAGTCATATTACAAGATGTCCCAATCACACACTAACATTTCTATTATCATTTCCCACCACTGCAACATTTACATTTGTAATCAACAACAAGAGTACAAGAAAATACGATTTAGTTAGCTTGTATTGATCTTTAGACAATGTTATACTCTTAGATGGTGTCTTTTGTTTATTTAATGGATCCACTATTTTATTCTCATTATGCTAAACTTTTATTAATTAGTAATTATTGCATTTTTCTTTTAACCTTTGTGCATTATATATGATCCAGTGCATTAAATGTTTCAAGGAGTAAAGCAAGAAAAGGAAATGGCCAGAGTGAACAGCATAAGTGATTTGGGAACATCAACCGGTAAATGATGAGTAACATTATATGTGTAGAGTAGAGATGGCACCAAGGACCAATTCATAAGGAAAAGAAACAAATATAAAAATAAAAAGAGAGAGATATGAATAGCAAACAAAGATCAAAATCATACTGAAAATGACCCAGATTGTTCTCATTATGTTTATCCAGTGAACTGCTTGTCCCCTCATGTGGGTCTGACATTAACTTTAGCTCATTTTCTATCTGCCTCCTTCCAGTCAAAGATGGTTCCATGTTCATGGCAACATGTAAGTCACGTACTGCATCTTCATAATTTTTCAAGGAAACATTTGCCTTGCCTCTTCTATACCACGCCTGCAGTGAAGATAATCTTTAGTTGTAAAATGTCAACTGCAGAAAATGATGACTGAAACTTGAATCCAAAGAAAAGGACAATGCCACATAAGCACTTCCATTTTTAGTAATATTATGTCACTGGCTATATTTTCCTTATCAATGTTCTGTGAGCAGAACACAACATCACTCAAACCAATGAGACTAGACGTGAGAGGCTTACACATTGGCGGAGCCACATGGGGCCTAAATTTTTTTAAATTATACTTTATCCTTGACTAAGAAAATGTTTTCAATTTGCTCATTTGAAGTTGCAAGTGTCAAGCATATGTGTTTTGGATATTATTATTTATTATTACGGTAGTTTAGTCTTTGGTATTTTTAGGGTTTGTTTAGCTTAGATATATATATTTCACTTTGTAACCTTTATTAATTATGCTTAATATACTATCGTTGTTTTTCTCTTTTCTGAATTATCATGGTATTGGAGCTAGGTTTTAAGCCTAACCTAACCTTAGACGCTGATGTTGTAAGTGTCAAGTGACTGCCACAGTGTCCCACGACTGCTGGATTGCTTCTGGGTGTGTTCAGAATTAGCCTCAGGTTGCAAATATTCCCATTCAAGTTGTTTAGCAAACTCGTCTGGTGCTGCCCTCTCTTCTTCGTGATCATCTGGCTGTTTCCTTCCTCTTCGTGACTCCATTGACACTCTCTCTCTCTCTCCGTGGTTTCATTGTGGACTGGTTTGGTGGGCTTGATTGCTGTTTTTGTTGCAACAGAAATTCAATTCCTTAGTTCTGTTGCTATTCTGGTTTGGTTTGCTGGTTTCGTTGTTTTCCCCGCTTTGCTAGAGATATTTTGATTGCTTCGTTTGGAGTTTGTTGCCCTGCTGCTGTCTCTTTGTTCTGGTTCTGGTCTGTTTCTTTGGCTGGTGAGTTTCTCTCTTGTGTTTTCTTCATCATGACTGGTGGTACTTCTGATTCTCTCCAAGCCATTGGTGTTAAGTTAGTAGGCGATAATTATACCTATTGGGCATATGTTATGAAGAATTTTCTTCTTGGTAAAAATGTTTGGACCTATGTTAGTGGTGAATCCTCCATGCCCTCTGATGTTAAACTTGAAAACTTTAATGCGCTTCTCTCTACATGGCAAGTCACTAATGCCAAGATTGTTACTGGGATCAACAATTCTGTGGATCAATCGAATGGTATTCATTTTGCAAAGTTTATTACTGCCAAAGAAATTTGGGATCATCTCTCTCGTCTCTATGTTCAGTCCAATTTTGCAAAACGGTATCAGTTAGAACATGAGATTCGGGCTACTTCTCAAGGTGATAAGAGTATCCAAGAGTTTTATTTTGTTGTGACTAGGCTACGGGATCAATTGGCCTTTACGGAGCCTAAGGCATTGAGTACTCATACAGAGTATTGTACTTATCATGAGGAGCAACGTGGTTCAGTTTCTTATGACACTTAAAGCTGATTTTGAGGGACTGCGTGGTACCATTCTTCATTGTAGTCCTCTTCCCACTGTTGACTCTATTGTGAATGAATTATTAGCTGAAGAAACTCGTTTCAAGGGCATTCCAAGCAAAGGTTTACTTCCCTTGCCAAGTCAACCTATTCTAGCCGTCCCTTCTAGTAATTAGAGTCACTCCTCCGTTCGCACACCGCTGGATGAATGTAGTTTTTGTCATCAGAAAGGTCATTGGAAGGCTCAATGTCCTCGACTTACTGGACGTTCTCATTCTGGTTCATCCTCATCTCAGAAGAAGGGTACTGATCGCTCCTCTGTGTCACCGATGCCTTGGAAAAAGGGTTGGAACTCCCATACTGTGGCCACAGTTCCCTCCGTAGAGGATATAGGCCCATCATTGACTTCCCTTGCTAAGCAGGTTCATGCCATGCAAAAACTACTCTCTGCCACTACGCCTAATGCCCTCTCAATCTCTTCCTCTTTAGGTTTGCCTCCCTCTTATTCTTCAGGTATTTCTCGGTCCACTTGGGTCTTTGACTCTGGTGTTACTCATCATATGGCCAATGTTTCATTATTTACTTCTATTTTTTCTCCTTCTTCCACTACTACTATTATGTCTGCTAATGGCACTCCCATGCCGTTAGTAGGAGTTGGTTCTATTTTGACTGATTCTCTCTCTCTTTCTGATATCTATTGCATTCCTCAACTGACTTTAAATCCATTTCTATTAGTCAATTTTGTGAGCTTGGTTATTATGTTCACTTCTCTTCTTTTGATTGTGTTGTGCAGGATCCTCATTCCAGACAGCAGATTGGGATCAACCGCAAGGTGGGAGAGATATATGTTCTTAAGCAACTTCATGTTCCATTGCTTGCTGCAATTTCCGTTGATTTGTTCTCTTTTCGTCTTAGTTCTCAGTCCTTGGAGTTTTAGATATGGCATTCTTGCCTTGGTCACATTTCTCGCTTTTGTTTACAATATTTAGTTTCAACTGGTGTTTTGGGAAATTGTAGTACTCATAATATTTCAAATTGTAGTCGTTGCAAACTTGCAAAATTTACGGCTTCGTTTGGTAAGCCTCTCAAAATATAATTCTACCTATTGATTTGAGTGTGTTGTTTGTGTAGAACTTTCAAATCATAATTCTACACCCATTTCTCAAAACTCAATTCAAAACATAATCATTACTTTTCAAAACTCATAACCAAACACATAATTCAAAACTCAATTCAAATCAATATTTTAATTTTGTTAAAATTTTAAATATTTTAATATTTAAATATGTTACGATTTTTTTAATTTTTTAATTTTTTTGAATATTTTTAAATATTTTAATTTCAAAATATTACGATTTTAATTTTTTAAATTTTAAAATATTTTACAAAAATAAATTCAAACTCTATTTTATAAAAATATTTTTAAATATTTTAATTTTTTTGTTATGTATTTGGTTACAATTTGAGTGTAAAGTTGTGAAAGTAGTATGGAGTTTCGAATTATGTATTTGGTTATGAGTTTTAAAAATAATTTCTTAATTGAATTTTGTTTTATGTGTTTGATTACGATTTGAGTGTAGAATTGTTTTGAAATTTAAAATATTTACATTTAAAATTATTTAAATTTTTACGATTTAAATTTTTTGAACATTTATTTTAATTTTTTACTTATTAATTTTTTTAGATTATTTAAATTATTTAAATATTTATGATTTAAATTTTTTGAATATTTATTTTGAAAAAAAATTATTTCCTTTGTAGTATTTTCAATTAAAAAATTGATTAATGTTATTTTCTGTTAATAATAATTTTTTTTAATTGAATTTTAAAAAGAGTTTGGTTATGAGTGTTGATCAAAATTTTCAATAGTGTGAAAGTAATGTGTTTTGTTATGAGTTATAATAATTTGAATTAAGTTTTAAAAACTCTTTTCAAAACTCATAACCAAACAAATTTTCTTACTTCACATGTCAAATCAAACTTTCAAAGCTCAATTCCATACTCAATTCAACACTCTATTCAAAAACCATAACCAAACAAATTTTCTACACTCAAATCATAATTCCACAACTCACAAATTCAAAATACAACTCATACTCTCAAATCATATTTACAAAACTCTACCAAACGCAACCTACAACTTTACCTTTTAATAAAAGTACTACTATTTCTTCTACTCCTTTTGATCTTGTCCATTCTGATGTGTGGGGTCTTGCACCTATTCCTACTAAAGGGAGTTCTAAATATTATGTGTCCTTTATTGATGATTATACTCGTCATCATTGGATTTATCTTATGAAACATCGGTCTGAATTTTCTTCTATTTTTTCTACTTTTTGTGCGATGATTCATACACAATACACTGTTGTTATTAAATGTTTTCGATGTGACTTGGGTGGGGAATATCAAGATACTAGCTTTCTTCAATTATTACAATCTGATGGTACTCTTCAGCAGTCTACCTATACTGAAACACCTGAACAAAACGGTGTGGCCGAACGTAAGCATCGTCATATCATGGAAACAGCACGTTCTTTATTACTTTCCTTCTTTGTTCCTAGTTCCTTTTGGGGTGAGGCTATTCTTACAGCTATTCATCTTATTAATCGCATCCCCTCCCAAGTAACCTCTAGTATCTCTCCATTTGAACAATTACATGGCAAACTATCCGATTGCTTCTCTCTTCGTGGGTTTGGTTGTACTTGTTTTGTCCTTCTTCCTCGTGCTGAACGCACTAAGTTGTCTGCTCGTTCTGCTATATGTGTTTTTCTTGGGTATGGTGAAGATCAAAAGGGTTACCACTGCTATGATCCTTCTTCTAGATGTCTCTATGTTTCTCGTCATGTTGTCTTTCTCAAACATATTCCCTTCTTTTCCATCCCATCTACCTCGGCTTCTGCTTCTCGATCTGATCTTATTTATCTTGATCCCTTTCCTAATAACATTCTTCTGATTCGTATGCCGTAACCTCTATTCTTCCTCTCTTCCCACTTTGTCTTCCTCACCTCCTCAGTGTCTTCTGATGTTCCTTCTCCTTCTCCTTCTCCTCTTATAATTCATACTTATGTTCGTCGGAAAAAGCGTGACTTATCTACAATTACTACTGCTCTCCCTCCTTCGGTTAAAGACCCATCAGCTGTTGATGATGAGGCTCCTGCTTCTCGCTATTCTCAAGGAAATCGTAAGTCTCCTAATTGGTTTAGTTTCTCTAAATCTTGCTATTCTTCTACATTCTATTCTTTTTTGGCTTCTATTCACTGTATTTCTGAACCTACCTCCTATAAGGAGGCTGTTTTTAATCCTCTTTGGCAATAGGCTATGGTGGTGTTTGGGAAGCAAGTTCCCAAATTTTTTTCTCATTTTTTCCACTAAAAGACAAAAGTTTTACAAAACCAAAAAAAACACATCCAAACAAAATATCACATCCAACCCCATAATCATTTCACTTTTTCTCTCACAAGCATCACATCCAATCACATAAAAACCCAACTATCTTCCCAAACACTAAAAATTTTTTATCTCATAAAAACCTACATCTAATAAAATCTACGTAAAAACTCACTTCCCAAACACCCACTATGAATGAGAAGCTTTCTGCATTGCATGCTACTGGCACTTGGAACCTTGTTTCCCTTCCTTCTGGTCACCATGTTGTGGGTTGTCGTTGGGTTTATAAAATTAAAACCAAGGCTGATGATTCCATTAAGCAGTATAAGACTCGTTTGGTTGCTAAAGGGTTTTCTCAGGAATATGGAATCGATTATGAGAAGACTTTTGCTCCTGTTGCCAAAATGACCATTGTTCGTACTTTGATTGTTGTTGCGGCTGTTAGCCATTGGTCCATTTCCAAATGGACGTCAAGAATGCCTTCTTGAATGGTGATTTGACTAAAGAGATCTATATAGCTCCTCCTCCTGGGCTTCCTCATCCTTCTGGCTCTGTGTAAATTGCGCAAAGCATTATATGGTCTCAAACAAGCGTCTCGTGCTTGGTTTGAGAAATTTGCTACTGTTGTATCTGCTTTGGGTTTTCACACTAGTGATCATGATTCAGCTCTCTTTCTTCGCTCTACTTCTGCTGGTAGGATTATTCTTCTATTGTATGTTGATGACATAATCATCACTGGTGATGATCTTGATGGCATTTTTGCTCTCAAAGGTCACCTCAATCGTCATTTTCAGATGAAGAATCTTGGTCCTCTTCAGTATTTCTTAGGGATTGAGGTGGCTTCTTCTCCTGAATGCTATCTTCTCTCTCTATGTCCAAATATGCCTTAAAGGTCATTCAGAGTGCTCGTTTGACTGATACTCACACTGTTGACACTCCACTTGAGCTTAATATGCATTATACTTCGACTGATGGGGTTCCTCTGTCTAATCCTACTTTGTATCGTGTTCTTGTTGGCAGCCTTGTCTATCTTACTGTCACCCGTCTTGATATTGCCTATGTTGTCCATGTTGTTAGTCAGTTTGTTGCCTCTCCTACTACGGTTCATTGGGCTGCAGTTCTTCATAGTTTACGGTAACTTCATGGGTCTCTGCATCAGAGTTTGCTTTTCCCCTCTACCTTATCATTGGATCTTTGTGCCTATTCTGATGCTGATTGGGCTAGTGATGCTATAGATCGTAAGTCGACTACTGGTGTTTGTGTGTTTTTGGGTACTTCCCTTATTTCTTGAAAGCGCAAGAAACAAACAGTTATTTCTCGTTCTTCTGTTGAGACTAAGTACCGTGCTATGGCTACTACTATTGCTGAAATTGTTTGGTTGCGATGGTTGCTTGTTGATTTTGGTATTTCACTTTCTGCTACTACTCCTATGTATTGTGATAATCGGAGTGCCATTTAGATTGCTCATAACTCTGTCTTCCATGAGCGGACTAAGCATTTTCAGATTGATTGTCATGTTGTGCGTCATCATCTTCAACTTCGTACTTTGTCCCTGCCGTTTGTGCCATCTACTATGCAGTTGGCTGACATTTTCACCAAGTCTCATACGACTTTGCACTTCCATTTTCTGCTTGACAAACTCTCGATGCTTCCTACCGTCACATCATGAGTTTGAGGGGCGGTGTTAAGCATATATGTTTTGGATATTATTATTAATTATTAGGGTAGTTTAGTCTTTGATGATATTTTTAGGGTTTGTTTAGCTTAGATATATATTTCACTTTGTAACCTTTATTAGTTATGCTTAATATACTATCGTTGTTTTCCTCTTTTCTGAATTATCAGCAAGTATGTCCCTTAAATCTTTATACCTCCTCTTTTCTTTACTTTTTCTTTTCAACAAAATCTCTGCAATTTGCCACATTAAATGTTTCATTTTGATAAATAAAAGAAAAAATCTCTTACAAATTTTAAATTATTCTCTCTTTTCTCTCATTTTTTTTTCCATATCCCCCTCTATCTCTCTTTTTGTGTGCCTGCACCTTGATGTAATTTTATCATCTTTTATTGAGACATGTGATTACATTTTAAATTATAATGATCATCATGTTCAGAAACTGAATAGAAAATTGAATTAATAATTTAAAAAAAATAACAAAAAGTAAAAAATGATTCGTTAATTTGAGCATAACTCTAAAATATAGCTTTGGAATCACATTGATCTTTTGTCATCCTACCACCAACTGAAAATTGTGTTCAGTTGGATTGTGGTAAATCGTGCTAAAGCCACTTCAATTCAATGTTGCCCCCTTGAGCCAAAATCCTAGCTCCGCCGATGGGCTTATAAATGAAGAAATTGTTAAACACCTTCAAGTACTTTTGATATTTTAGGCACCAATAATTCTATATTGGAAAACGGACAACAGACAAATAAGAAAAGAAGATAAAATTTTGATGTTTTCACTATTATGATTCTTTTTCTTTCTTGTTTTTTCTATTTTTTATTTTCTCCCTCTTCTTCCTTTACTTTTTTTTGGAATTTTTTTAATTTTTTTTATAACAGTAATCATAATATCTAAAAAGTCCCAGGCAATTGATTGCATGAAACTAATGGTAAGACAAGGTTCATTCCCAGTGTGTAACATCACAATGCAAATAACCAAAAGCACAGTTAAATAACAAAAGCTTTTTACCTTTGCATAACTCGAACAAATTACAAGAGCCCGATTGCAATCTCGTACACACTCCACCAGAAGACCCATTCTCTAAAGGAAAGATCAAAGACATGGTTTAGTCAATGTAAGCTCTGAACAAACTTTGAAGCTGATAACAAAAAATTCCTCATTTTGTAATTTGGTTTTTATAGAGACAAAATATTAGAGATCAAGGTCAGATTCCATCTACGTAATGAGGACACACTGTTTTATAACCTTTGCTAGTCTGTCAATGCATATTGGAAGCATATCAACAAGCACATTTATTGCCTTTACATCTTTGTTTTAGTCATCCAAAAATGTTAAGGTGTTCTTCTCACCTTGAACTTCTACACATATAATCATTCCATATCATACTTGTGAATAGTATGTATGCACGCTGCAGGAAACTAAATGAGCAGCCCCAACTCAGTCCAGTTTTGGTTTTTTAAACTCATCTCTAGCCTAAAAGTGCTGAGTTGAAGTACAAGTTCTGAGTTAGGAAGCTAACTGAACAGAGCTTGAACAAGATACTATTCTTGGGTACATGACCACATTGGTAGAAAGAATTTGTTGGATTTTATGCACTATCAAGGAAAACTCCGACTACTAGATACGACCTCAAAATAACAGGGGTCAAGGTCTGCCAATGCACTAACAGGACAGAAGAAGTTCCCAAAAATGCATAGGTGACAGGATTGAAAAAGTGATTTCTCACAAGTCTTTGCACCCTCAGAGAGGGTAGGTAAGTGCATTTTGAGTTTCTGTTTTATTACGTCAGGCAGCATGCACTTGCGTCAAAGTTTTTTAAAGTGCATTTTGGTTGCACCTGATAAGCAGCTACTGGAGTTATGGCTCAAAAGAAGATGCTTCCATCAAAAAATTGTCTAATAACAAAAAATTAAGGAAGAAAGAAAATATCCAATAAGAAAAAACACAGAGTGGCCTACCAGCCAGAAAATGTAAGTAAATGTTCTTAAGCTTAAAGCTGGCCCTGCAGAAGTTCCTTATCTTTTAGACACTTCTCGACAATATAGTTGTGTTTGAGTAAAACGAGAATGCCTTATCTTTTACCATGCCAATAACTTCATTCATTCTGGTTTGCAAAGCCAAGCTATCTGATGTACTTTACTTGTGCATCTGTCCTCATCCCCCAAGAACTACAACAGAGATTAAGGGATATGTGGATGGTTTTTATTTCCTTCTACACTGAGAACGTGGGAAAGTAGCCAGTAGGCCCAGTATGTGCTCATGATTTTCCCTCCACTGTAGAAATCTTCTGCATTTTTTCCTTCTTTTTCCCTGACAAGACACACGCCCATATCCCGCATAAACCATGGACCTCTTTGGAATTTTGTATAGAAAGCAATAACACCAAACTTCTTACATTTTACAGCTGTTTTCTTCCACAATAATTTATTATTGAAAGCTTTGGCTGCATCATACTTCTTTTCATTCTCAACAATGACATGTTGATTTCTATGCAATTGTTAGATGCAGGAATTCCCCTTTATTTCGATTAATCGCCACTTGCTTGACAAAATCTCTCAGCAGCAGGTGTTTTTTCCTTAGATATCATATTGCGATTACAACCAAGAACCTTAGCAAGGGCTTCCACAAGATTTATTCCCATTGAAACCTCCCTAGCTCGATCACCATACCACAATTAACTGTGCTCAAAATTTGCAGAAAGTTCGATGCAGAACAAGCCTTTAATTAGAAATTTTAGGCTGTCCCACAATTGGATTTGCTACACTTTCAACTTTCAAGGTTTAAGGTTGAGAAGCTGAATTAGGGTCAGATAAAGGTTTAACAATTAACTTGGTTGAGATTTAGGGCTGTTTTGAGTCTGGAAATTTAAAGTTAAGCTTGCAGGATTTTCTAAGCTGAGGAAACAATTGAAGGAAATAAGGGTTGTGTTCGTAGGATGATTGGATATTAAGTCTTAGGTTGAAAAGCTAAGGCATTGAGGATTGGGTATTAAGTTTTAGGTTGAAAAGCTAAGGCATTGAGGGTTAGATTTGAGCTGCAAGGATGGCTGGTACTGGCTGTTAGGAATGCACAGAGCTGCTGGAAATAAAAAATATAGAGAATGAAAGGGAAAAGAAGAAGTACAAGAATGAAAGATATGCCTTAGAAACTCACAAAAGCCTTCTAGAAATCTCACCTAAAAACCACTGATAGAATCTCATCATTAAATGAAAGCAAGATCTGTAGAAACTTTCTTCATAGAATTTGCAAAATTGTCGCTACAATCTACCCACCCAATACATTAGTACAAGACGACGACTACTACTACTACTACCACTAACACTACCACTACCACTACTACTAGACACAGGATTTCCTAAAATCCTACTAGGTAGGAAAGGATATCCAAAACCAATTATGAAACATGTTCAAAATAAGAGAATGACTTGAGAATCCTCCCCAACAAACACCTACCTAATCAGGATCCTAAAATAACAAAAGTTCCAAGTTACCCTCTGAAAATAAAAACAAATTATCTATTATCTCAAAAATTACCAAAACACCCCTGATGAAATATCTTTTTCCCTTTTCTGCCTTCTAGCATACACTTCTAGGGGCTGACCCCCCATCAAAGGCCTTTGTCAAAAGTAATTTTAAATTGTGTACAAGCATGCATTAAAAAACCATAGGACTTTGTTAATAACCCCAATCATACATAAAATTTTACACCAACGCTCAAAGACAAACTTCTACCCTGAGGTTATCTGAAATCAGGTCAGTGCACACTCACAGTTTCCAACGACCAAATTAATATCATGTAGTACACACAACCAAACGAATTATATAAAAACAAATATATCTCATGAAATTAAACGGTAAATAGTAAAACCAATACATTAAAAACACATGAATATATAAATCAAACTCACATGCAATACAGATGCTCGATTCACATATAGCATGGCCACAAGATTTTTTTCGGTGTCATTAGCACTTGTTGGAGCAACACGCAATGCCTGTTCACGTATGCAAGAGAGTATAACAACGAGAATGTAGCTAAAATTCCCACTAAATAGATAAACAAAAGACAAAAGATATAGAACATTCATCATTATTAACATACTAAATTAAAAGAAGAAATAAATAAGGATAGAGGTTTTAGTTATATAGCTCAAAGTCCAACAATGCCAACAGTGATCAAGCATTAACATGATGTAGAATACAAGAAGTTCAAGGAAGGCTAAATTTTATGCTTCTAATTTAATAGAATTAATATTTTAGAGAATTTTTAGAGCGTTTGAAGCTCCTTTATGGATTGTGTGATGTAATCAAACAATAGGTGAGAAGCCTGAGGGATTCTAGGATTGATTCCTAAACCTATCATCTTCATCTTTTTCTTCTTCTTCGTGCACATACCCTAGTTACTATTCTCTGGTTACTATTCACAGCCCTCTAAAAAGGCGCTTTCAACGTCAAAACCCTATCCAAACTCTATCCAATTACCCCCAAATCAATCATAATCCATTTCCCTACCTATTAGCCTTCAATTTAACCCTTAAAACCCTAAATTACTCACTGTTTAGGCAGTCAAATATTATCTATTTTCAAAACCAGCGCTAATAAAAAAAATGGGGCAAGAAAAGCTAAATGAACTAGTCAATCAAAAGAGAAAACCAACACCCTACAACACTAGCTAGCCACATTGCTTAAAATTTATAGCAAATAAAGGTCTCAAATTTGAATTTCCATCTCCTAATTGTTTATGCTTTCAAGAAGCTACTAGTCCATTGGAAGATCACGAATTCACAACATATAGGAGGGCCATAACATTTCTCTTTCTCTTGATCCTAATGCTTCTCTTTCCTAGTTCACCCCAAGGCCAAGATGCACGTAGTATATTCTAACCCCTTTTTTATGAGAAAAAAGTACATCAATAAAAATGCCTTGAGGGGGCAAGCCCTGTACACTCAAAAGGCCAAATCTTGGAAACTAAACATCTGCCTGCATGTACAGGTCTCCTATAAACAGTACAAAAGACTAAATAGAAAAGGGGAAATTATCTCCCAATCAAAAAATAATAATAGCAAAAGGAATATATTTATCAAACATAAATAAAATAATAATAATAAAGGAATAAAGATACTTCTAGACTGTGCAAAGATGATAACTAAATATCCTCAAAAGATCTCCTATGTCCACAAAGCCCACGGGATAGCATAAACCAATTCTTCCTATTCGACTTTCTTAGGCTCTTCCCCTAACAAAATAAAAGCTCTTCCACTAAAAACATCATAACCAATACAATACCAAAAAAAAGTAATGTTATACTTACAAACTAACAAATCTTGCAAAAGTTTTGTACTCATTGATGTGACACCTATGACCTATCATATTATTGAAGTTGGTCATGTTTCAGGTTTCAAAGTTCCACAACTACACGTCACATCAATTAGTAAGAAAAGTTTGTAATATTTGCTATTATGTATAGCATTTTCCTATTAACAAACACATCAAATCAGCTAAGAATCAAAAATACTTCTAAGAAGGTGGTGTGCCCATGTCAGACACGTGTCAAACACAGACATTCATCGGATACTTCCCAACATGGTCCGACGCAAGTACAAATGTGTCCTATTATTTTTATATAAAAAAATTAAACCTAGACACATATCAACTGCATTACAAGTTCAAAAAAATAAGTTAGGATAATGGTTTTAAATAACAGTATTGGGGTATGTATTTTCATTGGTGATACAATCATATATGGGTCGATATCAGACAGTATTGGTTGATATGTTAGTGAATAACAGCATCAGAAGGCCAAAAGCCGATACGATATGTAACAGTCTATATTTAAAACCCTTAGAATCCAATGAAAAAGAACAAAAATATAAACCTATATCTATCAATCTCTCTTTTACACTTTAGATATTAGTATTATGTTGTATATTTTGTTATCTTTGAGTAAAATATTCATATATATAACATACAATAAGTATATAAACCTATATTTTATGCATAGCCCCCACGTTTGTGTACTACATTTTTGAAAATTGTTCTTCAAAGTAAACCTCCAAAGTCATTTGCTCAAAAAAGCTTTGTTAAACCCCTCTAACATGCAAACTCTCAAGCCTCCCATTCGGATAGGCAAGCATATTGTGTCCAACCCGCCATGTGATAATTAAATTCTTTCCTCAAACCCTCCCCATAGGAAGTCGGTTGGCAATTTCTCCAACCTCCCTTACCATAAACCAAGGGATTTTTTTATTTTTATTTTTATTTTTTTGACCACAAGCAAGGGATATTGAAGATAGACATAGGCGGTGTTTGGGAACTTTATTTTTTTGTTTTTTTTTTTTGTATTTTTTCACTAAAAGACAAATTGGTTACAAAACCAAAAAAAAAAAAAAAAATCCAAACAAAATATCACATCAAACCCCAAAATCAGTTCACTTTTTCTCTCACAAATATCACATCTAACCATAAAAAAACCCAACTATCTTCCCAAACACAAAAAAAAATTCTCCAACAATATCTTACAACTAAAAAAACCTACAAAAAAACCTACTTCCCAAACACCCACATAAAATAAGTGAGGAGACTAGAAATAGTGTACTTTATCGAAGTCAAACTACTCCATTTGGATAAATACAGTTCATTCAGGTAGCAAAGCTCCTTTCAAATCTCTTCATAGGAAGGCCCCACACAACTTTGGCTTTCAAAGATAACCCAAGAGACATACCCAAATAAAACGTAAGCCAGCCTCCATTGCTTAGGCTTTGTAGTGCATTTTAACTGTAAGGTTTCCATACATGTCTCTTGCATTTTTTTTTCTTTTTTCTTTTTTTAATGAGAAAAATTGTATCAACAAGAACAACAATCAAGAAAGAGGGAAATGCCATGCAATCAAAAAATCACAACCTATTAAAACTGCACAAAATAATCAATAGAAAAAATGAAATTCCTCTCTCAATCGAAAAAACAAAAAAGGAACATAGATCCTTCAAGCAAAAAATTCTACACATGGAAACCAAATATTAGTTTGCTCCATTTAGACTTCCAAATACAATGAAGTGTCGAGCAATTTTTGCTTCAAAAACTACAATTGATGTCATAACGTACTGATGGGTGTAGGGTGAAAATTGAATTACAGAATGTCCATACCCTTACTACAGTATCTAATAGAATTATTAAGGCTGTGTTCGGTTCCTGGATTTGGAAAAGGATTTGGAAAGGAAAGGAGAAAGGGAAAAGGTAGGTGGAATGTAAATAAAATATAACTAAATTTCACATGCCTTTTTCCTTTCTTTTTCCAAATCTCTCTCCAAATTCATGAACGCAACACAGCCTAAAGGAATTGTCATGCCATGGACATTGTCACTACACAACACTCATATGTGCAAGTGTAACTAAAAATTGTTTACTCACTATTTGTAAATCGCGAAAAGTGTACCGCTTGTATGAATTCAACTAAAGCTTGATCTTTCAATGAGTATTAGTATAGTAATAGTAAATTTATTCACTTGAACAGATCATACATCTTTCAGTGAACCCAGATACATGAAACAATCATTTAAAAAAAAAAAAAAACATGAATCCAGAAGATCATGTGTGACCTGGGAGTAAAAACTCAAAGCATTCGAGTAGTCTCCTCTGGAGAAGCACTCGTTGCCCTTGCGCTTCGATTCCAAAGCAGCCTCCTTGTTCTTCCGACAGAGAGAAGTTTCTGGGTCTGTTAAATCCCTAACTATCTGTCAAATAACAAATTACCCATTTTTAGAAAATGGGTTCATTCATACACAAATAGGCATACATAAATACATGTGAATATAGTACATAATATGTGAAATAAATGGAAGTAATCGTTACTTGGTGAAACATGGGTTGTTGAAGAAAGAAGTGGAGGAGAGAAGAACAGGTAGAGGGAAGGTCATGGGGAGTGGTTTCAGCAATCTGGAGCTGAAGGGTTTTGAGAACCATGGACTTGAGCTTCTCCATTGTTGTTTGGGAAGAACTGGACTTGAAAGTGGAATGAAGCTGTCCAAGAAGACAACCCGGGTAGGGGTTCAACGTTGGGTCTTAACCGGGCTTTAGGGTATGTTTGGATGGATAGTGATTTTTTATTTTTATTTTTTTTCTTTGATTAAAATGGGTGGTGAGAAAACATAGGAAAAATCACTGTTCAAGGAAGGTTGTGGTAAAATATATCACAAATATGGAGGCTATGTTTTGTGAAAAAAAAAAAAATCTGCTCCACTGTGTTATGACTCTCCCAAAAAAGGGCTTGATAACAATTTTTTCAGCTTTTTAAATAAAAAATATGTAAAAAATAAAGAAAATGAATATTTGGTTTTTTTTTTTTGACTTTTTTTTTAGTAACAATGGGTAGGTTGGGAATATGTTATTTTAACTATAAAATAAAAAAAATATTATTAAAAATCAAAAATAGCGTTTGGTAGAATTTTCTAAATATGATTTAAGAATAAAGTTGTATTTTGAGTTTGTGAGTTTTAGAATTATGATTTGAGTGTAAAAAAATTATTTGATTTTGATTTTTTAATAGAGTGTTAGATTAAGCTTTGAATTAAGTATGCAATTGAATTTTGAAAGTTTAATGTGATATGTAAATTAATAAAATTTGTTTGGTTATGAGTATTGAAAAAAAAATCAAAACTTAATTCAAAAAGCTATAATTTATAATCAAACACGCAACTCAAAACTCGATTAAAATTTTTGATCAACATTCATAACCAAATCCTTCTTACAATTCAATTCAAAAAATGAATTAATAATTTTTTTTCAATTAATTTTTATTGAGTTAATTACCTAAAAGTCCTATCTACACATTTGGTGGTAGCTTAGGTCCTATCAAACAGTTTTTGAACCAATAGGTCCCATGTACAGGTAAAAAAACGTTTTACTCTTTAATCCCAAAACCGAAAATGTTCTCAATTTATAATTATCAAAACTAGGAAATTTTTCAATTTTTTTCTAGTATGAACTGAAAATATTATGAAAACTATCAAAACTAAAAAATTTATAATTATCAATTTTGAGAATTTTCTCAATTCTTTCATGATTAAAATTGAGAATATTATAAATTGAGAAGGTTCTCAATTTGGCATCACAATTACTATCCCAAATCCCATCTATTTTTTTTTCTCTCTCTCTCTCTCTCTCTCTCTCTCTATGTAGTTGTGTATAGATGTTTTCTGTTCGTCCAGATCTGACAACCAAAGTCTACCCAAAACCCTACACTTCATCATCATCGGACGAGATCGACCATTTCGATCTTTTGCCCGATTCGATCCTGCTCTTGATCTTCAACAAGATCGGCGATATCAAAGCCCTAGGTCTCCAACGACGATGCTTCTTCCGCCTCTAGATCCTCCGACAAGTCTCACAAAGCTTTCTCAAACCTGTTTCAGTTCGTTTTCAGTGGAATCGTCAAGCCACTCCAAGCTCTGGGCGGTGAGGTTGACGTGGTCGAGGTCGGCGCTGGAGCCGACGACGTTCTGGACGAAGGGGAAGGAGGAGTCATACGAGGGAGACCAGAGACTGGGTCTGTGGGGAGGAGAGAGAGAGAGAGAGAGAGTGTGTGTCTGGTTGGCGAGGAGGTCTTGGAAGGGTAAATTGGCCTATTAAAAATTAATGGGACTTGAAGGAGCAAATAATTTTATATAGGACTTAATGGATTATAAGTTTACAAAATAAGACTTGTATGTAAATGCCCCATTTTTATTTCATTTTTTTTTAAATAATTTTAATTGTAATTATTTTTTTTCAATTAATTTATTTTTCAATTATTTTTTTAAACTAATTTTTTCCCAATTTATTTTTATAATTAATTTTTTTTCAATTATAATGTGTATGATCACATTGCCATAAAATAATAAAAAATAAATATGAATACTTTAGACTTGAATAAACATATTTTTTGTTTATGTTTATTAAATTTAGACAATAAATATTTTATTCAAACCAAACGCGTTTGTAATTTATATTTTTTTAAAAATAAATAAAAACTAATTGATAAAATTTTTGTAAATATAAACATTACCAAACGCTACCTAAACATTTTTTCATTTGTTAAATTTTATCACTTTGATGAAAAATCCGTGAACCGATACCATTATCTTCACCTTCATTATTGTGCCTCACTTGTCCATTTCACCCATGAAGTGGAAGTACCATCAATAATATTAGTGTGGCTATTCATTAATGTGTTTGACACTGAAATTGCCACTTACCCCTCTTTTAGAGAATACTAAATTCATATGTTAGAAGAAAAAAAATGAAAAGGACAACATCGTAATTTAACTCATGTTCTGCAGAGCCATCAGTCCTCTGCAAAACCTTAGTTGGTCAACTTTCGATAAAAGGAAAAAAAAAAAATCCAAACCTCAGCAGTGTGTTTTTTGACCATTTGTTTGACCGAGGCTTTATATCACTCTGTTAACCAACAACTTCACTTCACAATTTTCAACAAAACCATCTTCATTCCAACAACTTCATTACTTCACACCTTTAACCAACTTCTTCACTATCTTCATTGACATTCATTATTCAAATAGTATCAATACAACCAGATCAGAGACCCGAATGATGCTACCACCTCCTCCACCATCTACCTCAATTAATTTCACAATCAATTAATTTCAAAAATTCGGTCTATATTTTTACAATTCATATCCGTGTAAAACAAAAGACGAAGAGCTTTGGTCAAATGTTCTTTCAGAGTTATTCACAATTTCAGAGCTGTAGAAGTAAGCCGAAAAGTTCACCAAATAGGTTAACATGGCGGCCAACCGGTGGGTCATCCGGCAGGTCGACCGGCTTCGTCTGTTCCAGCTTCCAACAAGACTCAACCCGAGGCTGAGCTTTGGCAATCTATTGTTTACCTTTTGCACACCATGTTCATACACTTTGCTATACATTTTTCATACATTTTTGTTACCTTTTCTTATCTTTTTGCTTACGTTCACAAGTCATGCCGAAAACAAAAAGAGCCAGACTAGAACGTGGCCAAACCTCTAACCCTATACCATGCCAACAAGAGCAGACCTATCCAACTATTGATTTTCTCGCATAAAATCATGAACAAGCTTATCTAAATTTTGTTAACCGACCAATTGTTACACGGAGAAGGTTAAATCTACATTCTCAATATGATCCTTTGTTGGTTGGCAGACTGGAGACGATGGGATGGCTACTTTTAACCAATTTACCACAAAAGGTATATCCACATCTTGTATATTTATTTTACCTTCACTTGAGACCTACTGAGAGAGAAGTTGGAGAGAATGGTTTGACATCTTACATCAAAGGTAAACTAATCACACTGAACCCCTACATTTTGGCACAAATTATTGGAGTTCAGTCAGGGGATTCGCAAAGTCATTTCCAGAGTTAGTCTAACCTAGTTAACATTGTTGGTGATGTAAGTGAGGTTTATACTACAATTTGTGAGAACCGATTTACCAGCACTAATTTACAAACAAGACATTTGAAACCCCACCTTCGTATTCTTCATCGAAGGATAGTCGAAAATGTCACTCCCAAAAAAGGATATTTTGATGTTGTTTCATTTTATAATGTTTATTTGTTATATTGTTTTGAAGTTAGATAAATATTAGATTTATGCTACACACTACTAAAGGAAATGGTGGTTGCAAATCTTGGTACTCTTAGTGGCCGGTCACTACTTTTTGGAGCTCTGCTAACCAAAATTTTCAAAGTTTATCATGTCAGCCTTGTAGATGACGTATATATGAAAATCACTTCACCAATTTCAAAGTATACACTGACCCGAGCTAGTGGTGCTGACAATTTATTGGGATCTAGTAATGTTGCAAATGCACCAATAGCTGATGATCTCGAAGACCCCAATGACAATGTCATGCCATCAAATCAACAACCCCAATACTGGACTGATTATTTGGCATTAAAACAAGAACAACACAATCAGTGCGTTCAATGGGAACAACAAATGGCTAATCAGTTTAATACATTGGGTAATCGGTTTGATGTATTTGTCGCCACTCAAAACTCACTAATTCAACAATTTAATGAGTTTCGTGTGGACACTGAAAAACGTGATGAAGTGACAAGCAACCGCATTGATCAGATTAATCATCAAGTGACTTAGGTCTACCATCACTACTTCCCTCCACCTCCACCACCACCTGACAATGACGCTTAATTTGTTTCGATGAGTGATTAAATGGTTGACGCATGTTGTGATTTTTAGTTATGTTGCAGATGTACTAGTACTTTCCGTTTTTATTTGTTTGTTTTCTTTTCTTTCTTTCTTCATTTTTTTGTTCATGCATGTAAGCACCATTTGTCATTGCATTTTTTTGTGTTTTTGTGTTTTTTTTTTCTCGTATAATTTACTGCTGCCTGTTTTTATTTTTAAATGATGCACCTATCTGTTTATTTTATTATTATTTTTTTAATTACTACCCATAGGGCTATGAAGCATAGTGTAAGAGTATCATCTTCAAAATTGTATGCTGTATTGATGCAATTGCAATTGTTTGGTTATTTATGAAATGTCAAATATAAATGTTATTCGTTGGAGCAATAAAAGAAGTTTGGATAACACTTTAAAAACAATTTTTTATCTAAAAACAATTTTTTATCTTAAAAAAAACATGAAATGTCAATTTTTTTATAAAAACAATTATTTTTTCTACGTCCAAATGCTAATTGGATAACACTTTAAGAGTGCAAAGTGTAATTTATCTTTAAAAAAAACATGAAGTCCAAAAATAGAATTAAAACAGATTGGTGGTGTGGATCTATACATTTTTTATACGTATGCAACCACGATGATTCCTCAACTTCGTATTTATAAAAGTTTCAATTTACTTGTCCTAATTTGAAATGAAAATTGTTCAAAATTTTTTTTTTTTTAATATTATTTATAGTTATATTTACTTCTGATTCTAAAATTTAATTACTTTTGTTTGGTTTTTTTGTTTTGTTTTGTTTTGACAATAGTGTTACATTCATATAATGCACCAACAGTCATAACCAAACACTTTTCAAATTTCAATTCAAAAAA